CTTTTATAATTTAATATATCTCTTAAATAGTGTCAGTTTGTCCATAAATTTGTTAAAAATGATCAAGTTTTATAAAAAAAAAAAACAAATACATTGACTTTAAGTTGATCCAGAGATATTTATAGTGTTTTTAAATCATTTAATTATAAAATTTATATCACATGTTACTTCAACTGATTACAAAATCCTAAAGAGCTTTTCCACTTGTTTTTAAAAGTGATTAACATAGCGAGAAACATTCATTTGTTTGCTCAAAAATCGCGAGGTTAAAAAAATACAAAGTATCATATAATCCAAAGACAATGTCATTCGACCTGCCCTTCCTTACTTTAATGCATTAATAATAAAGATCTTGGAATCAACCTATAACATACTTATATAACACAAATTTAAAAAAAAACAATATACATTAATCATTTTTCTAAAATCCTTTTTCCAGCATCAATTTTCACCAGACAAATACATTATTATTTTACCCATATTAACTATAAAAATTAATTCTGAAAGAAAAACATACTGAATACTCAATTCGTATTATGATTTGTTGTTGCATTAATATCATATCGCCCATTTTTTATGATGTCATTAGTCGGCTAGCTTTAGAAAATAGTTATGAGATTTAGAAAGAAATTTTTGTTCAGATATAATTTTCTTTAATTACGTTTCTTCGCTATTTACTTTTCAATTATGAAATTTTGAAATATGTGTATTTCAACAATTTTAAGAACAGTTAAAGAAAATTTCTTTCCACAAAATAATGCATAAATGATTTCTAAAAAAGCAGTACCGATAAAGACATTTTTCCGCACAATATTTTTATGCAGACTCATTTATGAAAATTAGATACTTAAAACTTATAAGTTTGTATATTCCACATATATATATAGTAATATTTTTATTTGATATTACCATTAAATACACTTTTTCAAATAACACGTGCCATATCATTAAGTTTGTTTAAAAACATTGAACAGTCTTTTTAGTAGATCTTATATAAAATATTCCTTAAAATATTATAAATGAAATTATGAGCTGATCTACTATTCTGGCATTAAAAACTGTTCCCGAAGAATAGATCTAGAGTGTGCATATTTTCAAGTTACTCTTCAAGAGTTATATATTCATTACATATATGTGCTGATTGAAATCATCTGCATCAAATAGTAATTTTGCTGTTAAATTTCATATTTTCTGTTGAGAAAATAATTTACTAGATTAATTATATTCCAGTGTCATAAAATATACTCTTGGCTTTTGCATTAAAGCATTTATTTTGATATAGTAATAATGATTGTTTTCATTGTACAACCATTTACAATTGATGGAAGATATAATTGCAACTTCCATCAAAATTGCTTGTGTCAAAATTATAACAATTCATTCACGACGAAATGTTTGTTTTGATTATATATTTTGGCAGAAAATAGCGTAATCTTTAATAGAGAAAAACGGCACAAACGATTACGAGTAAAGTACTTTGATTTACTGTATCTAAAAATAGAAACTAATTTTAAGTTTCAACTTGAAATCGCCATAAAATTCTGCCATTATAAAAATTCATAAAGTCCATATACAGTTTTTTTGTCAATCTGCCTTATCAAATACATATTATTTAAGTAATAACATCACAATGCATATCTAAATTTAATTGTATTATACACTAATTATAATTTTTGTCGAGTCAACAATATTCGTAAACCCCAAATCATAAATGCTGAAAAAAACCACAAATATATAAACAGGAATCAGTCAACGTTATTTAGCATTAGAGCATTAGCTAAAGTATTTCCTTGTTTTCACATAATTATTTTTATTATATATATATATATATATATATATATATATATAAATATATAATATGATTGAAAAATGAAAATATTACATTGACCATTTGAAACATTTCCACGGCACATCAAATTCTTCAATATGTTGTGGGAAAATGTGCCAGGCTTCAAATCAACATTAGAAAATTTTTCCACTGGCATAAATAATAGAAGAATGCAGTACATTTCTGATTCGGTAAAGATTGAATTTTTCAAGGTCCTTATATATGCCACCAGTCATGTCAAAATCTGTATGACATCACACTTGTCAAAAAGTCAATATCGATACACATCCCTACTAGAAACTGCCGTAATATGATCTTCTGACATTACTAGTAGAGCATGGAAAAGGAAAATCACACAGAGTTAACCGTATAACTTTACCAAAGATAATCATTTCAACATATTTGAAATGCAGTTAAGAACTAAAATTGAAGGAGATAAATAAATGTTTCTCATGTGGAAAAAACTAAAAAGTCATCACGCCATCTTTAGATTTTTTTGTCATTGAATATCTACCGATAGAATTTATATTTTTAATTATATTTTAAGTTGAATTTTTTTTAGAAGATAACTATCAATACACTTGATAGATTTGAAATTTAGTCCATTTTGTTTTCATTAATCTGTTAATATTTATATTGAGTTAAAAGATTTTTATGTGAGTTTTCTCGCCCCACTTTTTCAGATTCACTTATTCATTTGTCACATCGTCCTTGTTCGATTCCGTAGAATTCGACACTTGTTGTTTCACTTCATTTTTTTCACTTTGCTTAGAAGCAGTATTTGCCTGCTGCTGTTCCATATTTCCACTGTTATTATGCCCACCTAGAATTAATATCATAATCATTAAACTAGCTGTAAGTGGAATTCTGTCTTAAGGCAATTAAGGCATCGTGCCTTAAGGAAAATTGCTGGAACTTTCCGTACCAAAAATTATTATTTTTTTAAAAACGATTAACATTTTTGAAAAAATTTTACTTCGAAAAAATAAGATTTGTGAGAAACTAAAAATCGGACAAAAAATTACTTTTTTTGAAAAAAATTTTTTTTTGTAATTTTTTTTTGAAAAAAAAAATGTTTTCTTTATTTTGACATATTTTGGAAGGTCTAAACTTTTTTTCAAAGCAATCGTACTGCTTTAACTGCATAAAGACTAAATATCGAAGCGCGTAAGCGCCGCGTCGCCGTCTAACACGTAAACATTGGTACGGAACCCATACAAATGTAAACCAAATTTATACTTATTGTTAAAATCTCTATAAAATATCTGATAATTTGATGTGCATATGTCTAATGATCATTTTTGACCGCCAAATGGCATTTTTTTTTACTTTTTTCATTAAATCTCCGAAACCGCTAGGCCTGCCTTTATGAAAATTTGATCGGTTCTTCACCTTGTCAATACAAGTAAAATGTTTTTTGAATTATTCAAATCGGACGCTCCGTTCTCTTAAAAACTGAGTTACCGTTTTCGGCACTTTTTGCCCAGTACCTTCGGAACGGCTAGACCTGCCTTCGCCAAAAACTAATCAGCACGTCTCCTTATCAATAAGAATCGAATGTTTTTTGAAATATTCAAATCGGTTGATCGGTGTTCCCGAAATCGTCGACGAAAATTTGTATCCGCACATACATACACACACGCACATCACACACACACACATACATCTATTTTTTCTAAGGTATGCCAAAATATTCAGAAACCTTTGAAACGTCGAGAAATGCAAAAATTTTCATTTTCGATTTTTTTGCGATTACTATAACTTGCCCTATGGGAAGTTAATAAACGTTTAATGTTCATAGAATGCATGAAATTTAGACAATAAAAATTAAAGCAAAAACATACAAAACAAACCTAAAGATAGGCAACTATCATAGATCACATAAATGCCATACGAACAATTTATTTTCACTATTGATAGGTGTGAGATTTTCAGTGGGTTGATTAATTACCTCTGGAATAGTAATTTTTGTTTCCCGAGCCAGTCTGGTTATGCCTGGTGGACTGCTGTCCCCTTGGCTGCTGATGGCTGTGCTGTTGCTGCTGCTGCACCCCATTTGGCGCCATTTGCTGATGATGATGAACCTGATGCAGATGCTGCTGATGCAACATTTGATGCTGATGCATTTGATGCGTGGGATGAGTGGGGTGCGTGGGATGGTACGCCCCCACCCCCAGAACGGTGTTGGTTGTTGGTCTCTGTATCGGACCGGGGTAACGCGCTCCGATTTGCTGCTGCTGCTGACCATTGCTGCTGTTGTTGTTGCTGCTGGTGGTGGTGATGGTTGCTGCCGCTGCCGCCGAGGTGCTGCTGTGATGGTGGGGCGATGGCCCCGCCCCCTGCAGAACCGGTCCCGCTTGTCCCGCCGCTGCCTGCATCGTTCGACACGCACCACCACTGCTGTTGTTGTTGTTGCCCTGCATAACCTGCATAATCAAAATCATTTATACATAAATTGTATTCCATTTCAAATTTAAATAATATAAATACAAAAATGCCTTTCTTCAAACCAAATTTGATTCCTTTAGTGCTGCAAGTATATATGTATAGAATTGTCAATAAGACAAGTTTTTGAAAATCAAACAAAATCTTGAATGTGTGAATAAAATAAATATGTATTAGCTAATAGATTCGAAAATACTGTTTTAAAATGATATGCAATACAAAAAACAAAATTTAAAAAAATTGGAAAAAATTAACATTATCAATCTAGCCCGGAGGCATATTTTAATCAAGTACAAATGAAGTAAGAAATCTTATTCTATTATTTAAAAATAAACTTAACTTAGCAAACAAACAGTTCGGAAAATAGTGACTATTTTTTTCAAATTGTTACGATACTGGCAATATTAATTCATTAGTTTGCTTATATTATTAAAATCTTTTTCTTGGTTTCACATACTCGAATATCTTTAAAATTCTTTTCAATTTTTTTTTCAATAATTATTTAAACTTAAATATTTGTTAAGTTATAAAACACTTTTGTACTAATTTTATTATGCACTACTAGTTTTATGATTTAAAAAAAAGAAACTAGTTCGAAAGTTTTTCTCAATCAGTAATTTGAAGTATGATTATTTCAATTATTATTATTTATATAATCATCATTATGGTTATGATTATTCATGAAATTCTACAGTTTTAGTACGGTTAGTATGTGTATGTATTTTGATAGCATGTGTTTATACCTTAAAATTAAGCCATTTTATAAAACAGATCCAAACATGTGTAACATTTTACAAATTAAGAATTTTTTTTAATAATTTTCTTTCAAATTCTGCCATAAATTAGTAAAAAAAACTGATTAATTGCATTATGAAAAATCATAAAAAACAAAACAAAAATCATAACCCACATGTAAATAAACCGGATTAAAAAAAAAAACAAATAAAGACAGAACTCAAACAATTAAAACTCACGGATGACTGATAAGATTTGTGTTGTGGTTGAATCTGCTTCATTTGACCCAATGACTCACCTATTGGGCTCTTCAATGGTCGGCTGCACTGCAATACCAAGAGAAATAGAATTATTTATATAAAAAATAATAAATATTGTTTAAGTATTACATCACATTCATGATCAATATGCATATCATTTGATAACTTACTGGATCTGGTAAATTTTTAAGATAGGCACTTTGGGGACCTCTGTACTGTTGCATAGTCGCTGCCAATTGTAAGGGGGATGTTAAAAACTGGAAGAAAAACATTCACATCAGTCATTCGGCTGCAGAAACAACTACGCTACTTGATAAATCCTCACAGCGGAAGATGTAATTCAACTAGTAATCAGTCACATGACAAATATTGGTTTTAATATTTGGTTCTAAAAAAATCAACAGGCCTTTACTTATATATTTTATGAACTTTTAAAAAATTTCAATGATTACATTTGCCACTTTTACAATTAAATATCAGTAAAAACTAGTGATGCAAGCGCATCATGATTTAAGGCAAATTGCTGGAACTTGCGGTACCGCGAAATAGATAGTATCTCCAAAACCGCTGTACCTAATGTTTTTTTGAATAATTAAAATGGGCTGATCCGCGGATTATGTATGCATATGCATACATATTACACATACATCCATTTTTTAAGATATGCCAAAATGTTGAAAAACCCTTGATATATTAAAATCATTAAAAAATTTCATTTTCGATTTTTTACGATTACTATAACTTACCCTGCAAGAAGTTGAAAATACTAATAATTTAAATTTACAGCTAATATATGTAATAATTACCTGTGACGCATATCCTTGTCCTTGCACCTGCGCTTGCGGTGGCCCGGGCGGCGGTGGTGGCTGATTACCTCCAAACATTCCTGCCGCAGCAGCAGCTGCCGCCAATGAAAAACCACCTGGGGCAGCTCCAGTGGGCGGAGCATAGAAACCACTTCCACCTCCCGCTCCACCTGCTGCACCTTGAGATCCACCTTGGGAACCGCCAGCAGATCCTGCACCACCTGCAGCAGTGCCAGCACCGCCAAAGTAAGAAGATCCAGCTGTCAAAGGACCAGGTTGTGGTGGAGGTGGGTAAGCAACGCCCATGTACTGCGGAGGCTGTTGCGGAGCATAGTGTCCCGGGCCAGCAGATCCAGATTTACTGCCTATGGCTCCAATCTGTAATAAAAAGATTCATATTAAAAATGGCAAGTTTTTGGGGCTTTGAAATTCTATTAGAACAGAATAAATAAAAATTAAATGAAATGAAATCAATGAGTATATAATATATTAAGTATAAATAAATAAATAAAACATTACTAAAGTGTAACAAAATTCTAATTATTATTAGCAAAATTTATATTAAACACAAACCTGATTTGAAGGTTTCACACTAGCTGACATAAGAGAATTTGAAGTAGAAGAAATAAGCACAGTGCTCGGATTATTGAGTTGTTGCGATTGGCCAAATGGTGCTCCGCCCATTGCTCTGTATTGGGATGTCAGACTCTGATACATATCCGGTGTTGGTTGTGGAAGGCTGGGAGTAGTCTGCATGTAATTATATGGGGCATTAGCACCTGAAAATAAAAATGATTAGTTTTACATAAAAAAGTGCCACATTAATTCAGAACACGTTTATTGAAATATAGTTGTTGTTTTTAAAAGCACACTATTATGAAAAAAATAATAGGCGTACCTGAAAAAATAAAGTATAATGTAATAAGACTATTACAATTATATAGATTTTATGCTGATGATACTTTAAATTTATTTTTTACATTGCTTCCAGCAAATTAGCATTTGTCAGAATATTACCTGCATAGTGTCCAGGAAACTGAGAATAGGCGCCTCGACCTTGTTCCATTTGAAAAGCAGCAGCACCATAAAGCTGCTGCTGTTGCTGCTGTGGTGCCAACTGGCTTGAACCAAGCATTGCGGCAGCTGCTATAAAAATATAAATTTTTTTCATCATCATTTAATTCATTTGAAATGATGACATTAAAACTACTGCTTGTTACTATAAATAACAAGGATACATTTTTGTAAAAAACATGAAAAAATAAGCAGAAATATATATGTTTACATATTCAAAAAAGCTGTACACATACTTGAATTAAACAAGACTGCTGGAGGTGATGGTATGGCAGACATACTGCCATATTGAGCGGCTTGATAATACTGTTGTTGCGGGGCTTGCTGCTGCTGTTGCAACGACGGAGGCGGTGAAAGACCAAGTCCTTGAGAACCACCTGATATACCTCCTAAACCTAAATTTTAAATTTTTATATTGAATAAAATTATAAACAAATAGTATATATACTTCTAGCTACCACTAACCTGAAGGGTGCATCGATTGAGGCTGTTTCACTTTACAAACACTGTTCATATCATTATGCTTGTTCATTTGTTGTACATGATTATAAGGAGTAACATGTTGAGGTCCTGGACTGTAAACATTTTCATTGTCATTACCATCTGAAGATTTTCCAAAATGTTCCATAGATGGGTCACCGCCAAAACTACTTGCATATGTAGCAGCTGGCGATAAATTATGCTGTGAGGTCAAATTATGACCAGGTCCTACCAGGCCATGGTTGTGAGCATGTGCTTGGCTTGCCATTTGATTCATTTGATTTAAGTTTGCGTGTGCCTGATGTTTGCTCAAATTATGCTGTGCCTGATGAGATCCTAAATTATGTGGAGATGATAAATTATGCTGGGCGTCTTCATTGGAAGCTTGTTGCTCTAAAACAGTTGGCATTACTGGAGCATTCTCCCAAACCTTTTTAACACTTTGTATCTTCAGATTCAGCTCTGCTGTTGATGGACTAATTGTGCTCTGTGAAGAACTGGAATGCATTGAACGAGGCAGTCCTAGAACCTTGGTGTTTTTATCTTCAGTTAATTGTGCCAAATCCGAATCAAAGTTGAAAGACAACTTCATATCTTTATCATAATCTGATTCTGTTTTGCTTTGAAAAGAAAGCTGTAATCCAGACAATTGACCGTCCCTGCTTACAGGCGTAGTAGTCTCCATGATATCTAGACTGCTTGTTTTAAAAATATCATTGTCACGTTTTTCAGTTTGTTTTACAGTTTGATTCTGATTAGGTCCAGATTTGTAATTCGTATTCTCAAATATAATGGTCTGTACAGGAGGTGTGGTTCCATCCAGTGCAGACTTTGGGTCAGTATGGGCCTTGGTAGGAACTAGCTTACCATCATTGTTTGTGCCCGGTGTACTTCTTTGACTGTTTTGTCCAGATTCATTGGTGATGTTAACTATAGCTTCTGAATCTATAGTCATTGCATTGTCTGATTCTATATTTGGCCTCAGGCTTGCTGTGATAGGTTTATCCCAAGCATTAACAGGCGGTGGCATAGGAGCCATAACATTGATGTCTTGTGCCTGAGCACGCTGCTGCATTCTGATGTTCTCCTTTTGACGTGCAAATCTCGGTGGCAATTTTGATTGTCTTGGACGATCAGATTGAGCTTTAGATGAGGCATTGTTAGAAGAATTGTTTACTTGCTGTGATTGTTGCTGAGATGCATTGTTTGTAGCATTGGTAGACTGTTTACTTTGAGCATTTTTATTCGAGGCACCTGTAAACAGTAGTATTGATGTCATTAATTTGATCTAAAATTAATACACTGTTAAGATTTCTGAAAAATATCAGAAGAATTGTGAACTAGTAACTATAGAATATGATTGATATTTATTTATTTATTTATTTAAATATATAGCCCACAGATTTCTCCAAGAGGACTCAAAAATACAATTATTTGACATAATGAATAACAATTAAAATATATACAAAATTATAATATATAGTTAGTAACATAAAATGCTAAGATAAAATTTCATATAATGCAGAATGTAACAATAATATTTATAAACAGAAAATAATGAGATATTTGAAAGAAAATAAAAAGATTAACTTGTGCAGATGGAGATATTGACATACTTGTTTGAAAACATTAGTTTTGAAAATTGATAACTACATTGAGAAGTTCAATTTATCAATAATTCAATTCATTAACTGTAATTCTGAAAAATATTTTTTTGATATATTTAATATTTATATACAGGTAACCCCCGCACAACCCCCTTATAACATGGTACTTTTGAAGCATCAGTTTGCTCTAACAAGGTTTGGGAATTGAGCAAAACCCTAATAAAATAAAAAATATAGTAAAACCTACGAAAATCAAACTTTATTTAATCTAAAATTAGTAAAAACGCCGTACAATATTTCAGTAAATGTTATGAAACTAATGAAAAAAGATAACTAATTCGATATTTATTATTCGAGCGCGTACGTCCTATATAAAAAAAAAATCTAGGCTCATCCAAACAATTAGTCAATTATTCTTAAAGATCTTTTAAATGAGCATAAAATTTTAATAAAGATAACTTTGTATATGATAAATATATAAGTATCTTTTAGCTGAAAGCAAGTAATCGCAAATGTAATTTTTATTGCACAAAATAATGCACGGATCTGAAGGAAGTACAGAAACCTGCTCAGCGGATGAGGATGTATTGCAAAAAAAAGCATGTTGGATAGCACTTGCTTGTTAATTATGACGAAAAGTAATATAATTCATGTAATGTATATTACCTCTTAAGAAACATAATAATATTCAGTAAAAAATCATGATAAGTAGCATGTTTTGAATTCTTGGAACGTAACCCTCTTTTTGTACTAGTTCTTTATCCCGTATAACACGGATTCGCATAACACGCTAGTTTTTTAGAACGTAATTATCGTGTTATGCAGTATAAATATACATATAGAGATTTTTATAAGTATATAATATTTATATAAATAATACCTTTGCTTGAAGATCGTTCTTTCTTCTCCCCACGTGTAGAGCTTGAACGTTGTTGGTTCTGTTGAGCTGCCTGCTGTTGACCCGATGTTTGATTCAAAGCTTGTTGGTTTTGGTTCCCAGTCTGATTACTTGCATTGCCAGCACTGATAGCAGGTTCATCAGTTTTCTTTGCTCCCTTTTTATTTCGAACTTCTTGAAAACCATCACCATCAGAAGATGATTGTTGGCCTGATGAATTTTGTGCACTGGAAGTCTTCTCCAATTGTTCATCAATCACAACAACTGAAGCGAAGTTGTTAAGATCAATACCTGAAAAACGTATGTAAATAATAAATTTTTGAACTGAATGATTTAAATGGCGAGTCAATGCAATATAATATGAATATATACCTTCCAAAGCATCCTTTTTGCTTCCTGCATTAGAATTTGCTTGTTGGTTTTGATTGAGTGAACTTGAAGTATTATTTGTTGTTTCGGAAGTTTTCTTGGAGGGGTCATCAGATTTACCACTTATTTGACTTGACCCACTATTCTTATTTTGAGCAGCATTGTTTTTTCTTTCATTCCTAGGCTTTCCTGTCCTTGAATTTCCTGGAATAAATGATAAAAAACAAGATGAAATAATTTATATTCTAATTATTAAAAAAATATGGTATTACATATTATTAAATATGTGTGTTAAATTTGTAATACACATTAAAAATAAATAAATAAAGTTTGCATATTTAAAAAAAGATTTTAAAATAATAGTCATTCATTTTGGGAGAAACTGTGTTTAATCAAAAGTAACATTTAAATCTGAATCTATATCTGAATTTGATCAACTGTGAAAATTTAATATAAAATATTACTATGCCTTTTTTTTAGAGAAGCGTAAATTATAAGAAAAAAATCAATACTAGTAAAGATAAATAAATTCACTTAATAAAATTGATTTGTCTATGGAAATAATTTGATTCGCTGACTGATTAAATTTACCTCTGTCTCTATCCTTATCCCTGTTCTCTCGTCTCTTTCCTTGACCAAGATTGCCTCCAGATTCAGAATGATCTGAAGTGGTGTCCCAAGCTTCATCGCTGTTTTTTCCAGATGCATTCTTACCGCGTCCTCCACTGCGCATTCGCGACGATCCTCCGCCGGAACCGCCAGTAGATGCCTTAGAAGCTCCTGATAATGAAAAATATGACAATCGAACGATTAGTTTACAAGTTTGAGAGATTCAAGTGACGCTACTTTTGAGTTTTTCGAAACCATGAATTCAAAGCAATTGCATGGGTTGATTTATCACATTGATTTTTGATGGGTAAAAATACCATTGCTGACAAAGTATCAGTTGATAAATATTATCTGGACTGTTTCAAATCAAGGTAAATGGTGAAGAAGTTGATTGCTGATACTAATCGTGGCCACCTAGACACTCTGGAAGGCCAATTGATGTGGTTATACAGACAAATATAAAAAGTCCACCGAAATGTTTCGGAAAACCGAAAAGTAACATTACCTGAGATAACTGACACCCTAAAGATATCAATAGTACGTGTTGGACATATAGTTCACAAATCTTTAAATAGGTAAAATCTCTGATCTAAATGGGTGCCGCGCAAACTCACAATTGACCAAAAGCATAACGAGTTGATGATTCGTAGGAGTATTTGGAGCTGCTTAATCAAAATAAAACTGAGTTTTTGCATCAATGTCACCATGGATATGACCTAGCTTCAACATTACACTCCCGAGTCGAATAGACAGTTAGCCAAGTGGACTAGACACAATGACGAGAAACAATGCAACCAGTCAGCTGGTAAGGTAATAACGTCAGTTTTTGAAAATGCAAGAAATTATATGCATATTGAAAAGGGCTAGACCATCAACAGTGACTATTGTATAACGTTATTGGAACATTTGAAAATCAAAATCGGAAAAACCGCCCAATTTGAAAAAGAAAACCGTGCTTCTCCCTTCTCACAAATCTGTTAAAACAGTGGCCAAAAAAACATGAATTAGGCTCCAAATTATTTCCCCACTCGCTGTATTCTCTAGATCTGTTCCCCCAGCGACCATATCCTGTTCTCAGATCTTAAAAGAATGCTCGCTCTGAAGAAATATTTGCCAAATAATTAGATGATGGCCGAATTTTGTACAAATGGTACTACAAAAATGTTCGAAGTTCGCTATAATTGGTATATCATATTCGAAGAAAATCCTACGGACTTATTGAGTGAAGTGATTTATATATATAAATGTAACGCTCTCAAATATACTTAACTAATTGTAAATATAACCTCAAAAATATTTGAAAAAAAAAAAACAAATATTTTTTCATACATCTTAGTCGGTTTTCATACGCAAGTATTTAATACAAATGATTATATTTATGCTTGCATAATAGCAGTCAAATCTAGTGTGGAAAGTAGCATTAAGTACCTTGAGGCAAGTTGCATAAACTTCTCGACATGTGATAATAATCGACTTAATAAAAAATAAAAAAATGAAATTAGATAAAATTTTAAACTATTTGGTAAATAAAGATTTTGCTTTCACTAAAAACTAATCAATGCCATTTCTAATTTATATCTTTGAAACATATTCATAATATTTGTAATTGTATTAATTACAATGCATAAACACGCGCTCGTTTGTCCTACAAGACATATTTTATAACCAGTAAGTCTAAGACGTATTTTGATAACTCAACGAAAGGTCTCAAAACAGCTCACTTTTTCCAAATTGGGACAAAGATTCAGAATGACTTAAAATGTCGATAAAACATAAAAATAGCAATGGTTTTCTTGTGGTAAACTTCTTATGCAAGTTAAAAATTAAAATAATTCATTGTTGCATTCTTTGAATATTATGCTCTAAAATATAAAATTACAATATATACATAACATATATATATTAAATATTAAACTGCAAGTTTGAATTCAAAAGAAGTCGTTGAAAATATAATTATAGTTTTTCTAATACTATCAGTAAAATCGAAAAATATTTTCAAGAAAATATAAATGAACATTAACAAATGGATTTAATTTAATTTTTATGTCAACTTTTGACAACTTATTTAAAAACAATTGAGTAAGAAAATATTTGACAATGAAAAATGACTAGAAAGTTTGGTTTCGACTATCTACATTGAATCACCTTAAAAAAAAATTGTTATTAAAACATTACAAAACTGACCTGCTCCTCCACCAGACCTTGCTACATTTGATGAGTTGGCATTGCCACTGGAAGCAGTGTTGCTGGTCGAGGTTGTGCCTGATGAGCTTGTAGAGATTCCGATACCTGCACTCAAGGCTTGTTGTTTCAACTTTGTTCTGTCATCTGTGTGAAAAGTAATGAAACAAATTATAAAAGTTGCTTTCACAAAATTAATTTGCATTATTAAATGTGGTATTGATTGATAAACAAATAAAATGTAATTTCTCAAACTTTATAAAAGATAAATAAATCTAATTACAAAAATTACAGAATATAATAAAGTTCAGTATGTTCCTGAAAGACACATTTGATGGCAATGAACTATTTCATTAAAGCAATTGTTAAAAAATTATAAATAAATTGTAAAGGTAATGCAGATAGGATAACAAATGTTAATAAAAAGAAAAATGTAACCATTAAAAATAATTTTATTACATTATATTTGCTTTTCCCATGTATGTCCAAATATAGAATAGATAATATTGTAATAATTTAATCAGACTAATTTTTTAATGTGTTAACTTTATGAACTATAAAATAATTTGAAAATAAATAATGTGTACTATCACAGTCTTCACTTTTCCAATAACAAGAAAAAAATATAATGTATGAATAATAGTTAGATAACATTTATACATTATGAAGATTAAACAATTACTTGAAAATTGTACAAAAATATAATAAAAAATGGCATAAAACAAAATACAAATATTTATTCATTCGACAAATGACAAAAAAAAAATAATAAAGAAAAACAATATAGATGTTGTTACACAAATTGTAATTTTTCTTGAGTAAGAAGATAATATAATTTGTGTGAGCCAGCCATGTCACAAAAATAAGCAGTTATTACCTGAATTTCTTGTTTAAATAACAAATCACTTGCATTAAATATTCAACCAATTTTAAATCTGTTCATAATTACCGTCATTTATACTTTTCCAATTTGAACATCCAAACCACTTTCATACCATAATTTATCAGAAACGCATTTAAAATATTTCTTTTATCCTCTATCTCACTCCAAATTCCATTTTTCCTTCAATTCATCAGTAATCTACCTGAGGTCAATCCTTGGTTGTCTCCACTTGAACTTTCATTTCTTGGTTTATTCATTTCATCGCCACCAAATGTTCTACGGGGGGGTCCATAATCCACATTTTTCATTGCGCCTCTTGAGGTACGATATGCTGAACCTCTACCTCTTCTTGATGGTTCCCCTCGAGGTGCAAAACCCTCTTGATGGCTGGAACCTCTATTGAGCGATGTTTGAGTGTTTGATCTTTCTGCAGGCTGCCTAGGTTCTTGTTTCAGTGAGCCAGAACTGGTAGAGCGTTGTTGCATGCCATGGTGCTGATTTTGTGCACTCGATTGTTGTTGCTGAGATTGATGATGGTGATTTGAATCTCGACTGAGCTGTTGCTGAAGTTGCTTAGGACTTCGGCGGCCCCTGTTGATAAATTTATGATCATGAGCATCATAAAGAACTTATTTTAGTATTAATATACAAAAATCAAATAACTTTTATCATTGAAACAATTTCATAGAAAACTTCAAATATAAATTCATGATTTACTTTTGTGTAAGTTATATAAATGTAGTAAATTATATAACTACTTTCTTTTTGCACCGTTTTTAGAATTAGAAATTATTTCTATGTAAATAACAATATATTTTCTAAATATTCGATGTAACTCGATCGTCATGTCAATACAAGTAAAATGTTTTTTGAATTATTAAAATCGGACACACCGTTCTCTTAACAACTGAGCTACCGTTCGTGGCACTTTTTGCCCCGTATCTTCGAAACGGCTAGACCTCCTATGCCAAAAACTAATCAGCACGTCTCCTTATCAAAAGCAATCGAATGTTTTTTGAATAATTGAAATCGGTTGAACCGTGTTCCCAAAATCGTCGACGAAAATTTGTATCCGCACGCACACACACGCACTAACACATACATCCATTTTTTCTAAGGTATGCCAAAATATTCAGAAACCTCTGAAACGTAAAGATATATAACAATTTTCATTTTCGATTTTTTTGCGATTACTATAACTAATCATAAAAAAGCTTAAATAAGTGTAAAAAGAATTTTCTCCAGATTTTTACTCAATTTTAAAATATCAAAAACTATTTGAAAGATAATGGTTGAGAATTGTGCTGATTATGTTTTAGTAATGATCCGTAATTAATTCTTGAATAAAAGATTTTCGATTTTTATGAAACTTTTTTTAACGATATCATTCGTAAAGATACTAAAACATCAAGGTCCTACGACTAGTCATTTAATTTTAGAAATAAATCTAAGTATGAAAAAATAAACTTTTTTTGAGGTTTTCAAAAAACTTTAAACATTCTTGATAAACCAAATTCAAAAATTTAAAAGTCATTCGATGTAACTCGATGAAGCACTCACATTGTTTTATTGAGATAATCGGCCGAGCCGATACTTTAAATAAATATAAAAAAAGCAAAATAATTCATCAACGTTTTCGAAAACTTCTGAACCGATTTTCAAAATTCAAAAACCGTTCGAAAGATTTCAGTTGGGAATCGTGATGGTTAGTTTTCGACAAAAATCGGTCAAGCCGTTTCTTCGTAGTTTATTGATAAAAAAATTGTTAACAAAATCAATGAAACTTTATATTGAGCTTTCATTAAGGAATGATGGGTCGCTCTTTTGGGTCAAACAAGATAGTGTTTATGCACCATATTTGATTCAATTACTTATATTACAAGTTCATTTGAAACATATCAAATTAAAATCGTACTATTTATTTTTTTTATTAAAAACAAACATCATATTTTCAAAATAAAATATTGGAATTTTATCTAAATAGCTAAATCCCAATTATTAATGAATAAATTGATTATTTACATGTATCGAAAAGATTTTGCATCTTGCCTTAATGCAACAGTTGAATCATAAAAAAATAAAATGTACATACTTTTTCCTGTCATCCTCGTGTTCTTCAGACCCATCTGTCTCGCTCCAAGCATGATCTCCACCGCTATGCCCTCCAACACCTCTAGTACGTCCACCACCGCCAATATTCTTCCTATGTCCCTCCACTCTAGGATTGTTTACTCCACTTTGATCCTGTCCCCTTCTAAAATTATCAAAATTTCTTCCACCTCGAGAACCCATTTGTCTTGTGCTGACTTTAGGACTCATGCGTTTGTTATTCCCAGAGTCTCTTCCACTTCTATAATCCTCATTAAGTAATTCTTTATCAGTTTTTAACTCATTGTTCTTACTGATAGAAACTTGAGTAATTTCAATTACTTGTTTATTTGAGCTAGTAGTTTCATTCAGTTTATTGTTGTTAGAGTTCTTCAAAGAAACATCAACAGTATGTTTTGTGGAGTCAGGCCAGGATTGTTTATCAGACAATTTTATCATTTCATTGTTCTCAGAATCTTTAATGGATTTTCTATCATCTTCTGCTTTGTTATTTCCGTATAACAATTTTTCATTTTCCAAAGGCTCATCAGCCCAAGAGGAGCCAAACTCACGGCAAGACTCGCTGGTTTTCAATTCAGATTTAGGAGGACTACCTTCTAGATTGTGTGAAGAAGTTGTGCTGCTCCTGTCTTCGCTTGATACTAAAACAAAAACATTGATACTATTATTATCATAGAGTTAAGCTGAAAGAATTATTTAAAAGATAGGTAATTGTGAAAAAATTGTTTTGCAAATTTCCACATGGGATCTAGCAAATACCCAAAATCTCTACTGCAATGTTTAAATTTCAGAAAATCTTTAATACAATTTTATGTAAGAAGTATGTAAGTTTTAAACTTTACAATTTTAAATTGTTTTAATAATAATTTGATAAATTTTATTATAATTAACTTGCAATAATATAATTGTGTAATAATAATGCAATAATATGTTAATTTAACATTTTTCAATAAAAAAATAATAAAAAAAAATTAGAATGATAAAATAAATGACAGAGTTTTTTTTAACAAATTTAATAAAAAATAGTATTTGGCTATGACATCAAATTATTACTTAAATTTTTTAACATATAAACAATTATTTTTAATTAAATTTCTGTCTGAGACTGAAATCTGTTCTGTGAGAGTCTGTATCAACATGCACATTTTTTATCATACCTATTATTATTTGAATTAATTGTAATCCAAGATGAAGAAATTCTAAATATAATGTTCATTTCAAAATAGTTTTCAAAAATACCTGACAATTTCCGTTGCGAGGTATCGGACATACTTCTATTCAAAGAGTGGCCACTTTGTTGCCTCGAAAGATTTTGATATTGCTGCAAATTTGTGCTGGATAAATTATTATTACTTCCACGATGCTGCTGAGCTACATCGTCAGCACTTGGAGCTCTTCTAGACATTGTGTTATTGTTACTACCACCACCTGATTGAACGCCACTCATACTTGAGGATTTTGTATATGTCTGAGTAGGAGGATGCACCCAACGAGTATCATATTGTTGTGCAAACGGTACATTATTCACCTGGAAATTAAGATCATTTATCATAGTAATTTTATCCACAATGACTTCAATTAAATAGGTAAAAAATATGTATAAAAATGCAATTACCTTATCAACGCTTCCGCCCCCTCTCTGACCACCGATATGATTTTTTTCTGCTTGATTGCGAAACCTTGGCGGAAGATCAATTTGGAATTGTTTGGAGAAATTGGGACCACCGCCACCGCCCCCAGAACCTGTACCTCCGCCGCTGTCTAAGTCCCTCCCAGAAGAGATCGGACCATTGCGATCACGTTCATGTGAATTCATAATGATTCGAGGTTCCGGATCGCGATGATGATCTGAAAAAAAAAAAGTTTTTACATGTTTGTCTATGTGATAAACAAATAAATTATGCAACATTGTTAAAAATGAGCATAATATTGATAACACACCTCTATCTCCACCTGCAGATTGTTGCTCTTGAACTGAGGCATTCCATTGTACAAATCCTCTACCGGAAACTGAACTAGGTCCACCATTACCAATCTGAGACATCTGTCTGAACTCGAGACCATCACTGCTGACAGATCCCTGCAACTGATGCATTCCTGAATTCGAGTGTGAATCCTGGTTGCTACTGAAATTTATAGTATTATCTGAAGCCGAATCTTTAACGCCATCTTGTGAAGTAGAGTTCTTTTTTGCACTGATTTTCTGTTCTAGTTCTAACAGTTTTTTATTAGCGGCCATTTTAGTTTCCATGAACTTTCTGTCCTCCTCTTCTCTCCTAAGTTTTGCAAGTTCTTGAGCTCTTTCAATTCGCTCATGAGTTTGTTTCCTCCGTTGTATCCAAATTTCATCATCCTCTAATACGTTTCTTGGCGCATTTCTCTGATGGCCATTCTGACGATAATCTACGTCTCTACTTTGGGTATTTCTTGAACTCCACATTGGACCCCTTGACGCACCGCTTCCTGAATTTGCATTATTACTGTCTTCAATATTCTTTTCAATTGAAGCAGATTTAACTTTTCCGGGTGCTGGAGAAATTTGACGCTGATTGGTTTGTGCGTCATTAGTAATAGTTGAAGGCGGAGGAGCAGATGAAGAATGAGTTATACGGTTGGATTGACTTTGAGAGCTTTCCCTAGAACTTTCACGAATTGGAGCAGGCGATGCGGCAGGTTCAGAACTTTCATCATCAGAAAAGGCAAGTTTTTGACTGTAACAAAAAGAAATTATTTTCCAAAAAATATGTAAACATTTCAAACATAAAACAATTAGGACATGCTTAGAAATATTTTCAACAAGAAGGGCAAATAATGATACAAGTTTGTAATAGATTCTGTTCATATTTATTCAGAAGAATTATCATCTTCCAAGTATCATATTATAACATCCTTTATAAAGTCCAGTCCTTGAAAGATATGTGCCTATTCAAAATAAAAATGTACAATGTGCAAAAAAATCTATATCTTTCTGATTATTTAGCTCCAGACCACATGGCTTTATATAGTCATTCATTTTATTAAAACAGTCTTCTCAAATATGCAACTGACAATAGCAAAATATGAAATTAGAAATGAACTTACTTGTAGTCAATGTCATCATGAGCAGCCCATCCTACATCACGAGCAATGTCTTCCATTTTATCTAAATCCTCTTCTTTTATGATTGGTCTTTGTAAAGGTGCGTCGGACAAATCAATATCGCGCTTAGAGATTGGAGGTCCGCGTCTATTGTCTCGTGACCTGATGAAGTATTTAATTGTTAAAGTTTATTATTGATATTTTCATAAAATTATATAGCACTAAAACTCACCCTTGTGTTTCATTATAGCTATTTTGCGGTCTGGCTTGGTTTCTAGCCGTGGTCGGAGCTGCGCCGAAGTTCTGAGGGAGACCAAAGTTGCCGGCCGCGCCACCACTGCCTCGATACATCTATGTTAACCATATATTCTTATTAAAACTATATGATAGTAGAAATGCCAGTAAAAAATGAATTCCAAGCCCAAATATCCTAAGATAATTTTTTTCATAATCAAAATCTAATATACGATTCGGTCATTTTTTCGGATACGAGTGTGGTAAATACAAAATAAAAGTTTAGCAATCTAATATTTTGTAATATTTTTTTTTATAAAAAATATTAAGTCTGATAAAAGTTTCCAGTATGTCAAAAAGCAATATTAAATGAAAAAAGTAGAAAAAAATCAGTTTTAAAGTTACCAGTAAACCATTTGTAGTCATTTTCGATTGACCTGATTGAATTAATTTTGATTTGAACTTACAAAAGATGGCATGATGGCTTGAAACTGTGGATGCACTTGCTGGAGGGCCGGGCCCCCCATGGGAGCTCCAGCTCCTCCAGCGGTGGCTCCGCCAACCGGGGGGCCCGCTGCTGGTGCTCCTGCAACTTCTGTGCTTCCTGAATTTGATGAAGAACGGCCGCCTTGTATCCAACTGCCTTCCGCTAAAAATTATTTTTTTATTAAATATTATAACTAACGACATTAGAAAATTGAAATAATAACTAAATAATTCTTTGAACAATAGCAACATATTATAAAAAATCTTAACTAATTAAAAAAAATTACTTTGCGGTCTTAGACTCGGTCCCGGGCCATACTGAGCATCTGGGCCAGGTTTCTGGGTTTGTACATTCGGTGTGTGGCCATCCAGGGATGGGAATTCGTGTTGAAATTGGGGGCTCTGGTAACTCGGTGGATGTTGATGATGAGAGTGATGATGATCCTGGTGAGAAAGTCCAGCTCCTGACAAATAAAAAAACAACATCTTCATTAGCACAATTTTGAGAACATCAAGTTTGGTATCAAATTAAGGATTATCAAAGAAAAAATATAGAATAGAAAAATACAGAAAATAATTTATGCTGAATGTAATAAAAACAAAATATTGGTAAATTGGGTATATTCTAAATCTTTTATTTGTTAATAATAAATAATGCTTAACCAACATACAATGGAAGAATAAAATTATTAACAGAATTGCGTAGGCATTTGAGCATGTAAAGTTCGATATGTAATTGTTATTGTAATACTTGCCTACAGCGACGGCGCTCCACGTGTTTCCTGCGGCGTTCGAGTGCTGCAGCTGCTGCGCTTGCTGTGGCGAAGTGACGCCACTTACTGGCTGCGGCAACTGCGGTGACACCGCAGGCTGTGCTGCGGCAGGCTTTAAAAATATAATAAACCATGTAATGCAATTTTTGTTTGAATAAGCATTCAATGTGTGCAATAATATAACTAACATTCTTCGAGTCCGACGCCCATGATCCTTGACCTGCTGCGTTTGGGACTGGCCCGGTAGTTCCTGCTTGCTGTTGCTGTACTTGCTGTTGCTGTTGCGGATCTGTTGTAGCCGCTGAAGTAGATGTAGAGTTGTTAACGATGGTAGTGTTGCTGCTTGTTGTTGTTGCCTCGGCTCTTATCGACGGAAGATTAGCTGGTGGGCGACGGGCCGTCGGCACTTTACCCAGACTCTGCATGCCATGTTTGCGCGGTACGCTGCTCTTCTGCGTCAACTGTTCGACGGTATCACCCTAAATCGATAATATATATTGATATACTGAATGTTATATTCGATAAATTAGTTAACACTTTTTGACGTGAACTCTATGGAATAATGTACATGATTCACTGATTTTTATTTAACCAATTTTATAGAATGATTCTAGACGATCCTATGGATAAATTTGTATAAGGTAGTTCAAGCCGAGGCGGCACGAATATTGGGATTTATAAATGGAGCTGCAGTTATATTATTTTGTAAATGCATAAAAAGGCTAAAGATAATCAACACAGCGTCATTAAAACACTGTTTCAGAAAAAATATGTAGACCGAGTCAAATATTCGGAACTTTTGCATTGAAAAGAGCTGATTGACTCAAAGCGTATCTAAACGCGGACAGAATTAAGATTTTAAATAATCAGAAGAAGTGAAATCATTATTGAACAGAAGGACAATGTGCAGCAAACGAATGATTAATATACAAAGTATTTTTTATAGTAATCTCATTTTATAATGTAACGTTTAATTCAAAATATTTAGAATTCGATTCTGAAGATAAGTAGATTAACAAGATACGTCTTATCTTTATAACTTTCATTAATACGTGGTCTGTTCAAAAAGTACCCGGAATTACTAATAATTAAATTTCGCGGGTCTGGAGTGTCTGATTGTCAAAATTTTTTTTTATTGTGTTGGTATACATGCCCCTAAAGTATGATGAAATTTTCAGCTATATTCACTGTTTACTTTGTCTGTGGTAGTCGCTAAGGTTCGACGTGTTTTTCTGAGCTCGGCGATTTTTACAATGGAAGAATTGAAAAGTCAAAGAATTTGTATTAAATTTTGCGTAAAAAATAAAATAAAGTGTTGCAAAGTGCAAAAATTCACCAGATATGGCTCCGTGTGACTTTTTCCTATTCCCAAAGTTGAAGAGACCCATGAAAGGACGGCGGTTTTCCTCGATTGAAGAAAATCGCTGAGAGTGCTCAAGGACATATCAAAAAGTGAATATCAAGGGTGCTTCGAAAATTGGAAAAAACGCTGGCATAAGTGTATTATATCTGGGGGGGACTACTTTGAAGGGGACCACATTAATGTAGACGAATAAATAAATATTTTATATTTATATACGAAAATTCCGGGTACTTTTTGAACAGACCACGTATACCTTTACCTCCTTTACCTACGTTGATAAAACATTTGTCTAAACTGATGATGATTTGATAATCGAATTCGCTTATCTCATATATTGACTCATCTGTCAAATATTTGTCATCTTAACTTGATTTTTTTTTCTGAACTGCAAGCTATTACCAAACCAAATGAATCATTACACTAGTTTGTGCGTAAGCATTATTTTCGATATTCTGTATACCATCTTACTATAAAAAATGTAAATGTGATTAGCCATTATACAATACGTAGACAGGAGTGTTGACAGTGTGCCAATGCTATATTTGCTTTCAATATTTGGACAAATAATACATAAGATCTGTGAGGTTTAATTTATCGTCTGAAACTTCTGGTTCATCTGGATTTATATACCTTTATTAAGTTCAAGAGCACCTAGCCATTTGTCATTAACACGTTGCAAATAGATGTTTATTATTTTCCAGCGTATATAAATATATATATATATATATATATATATATATATATATATATTGTATGATTCTGAATTTGATGTTGAGATATGTATTAACAAAGGATTATAGCCGAAACGTATGGATTTAAAATAAATTTTTGGAAGAAATTCATGTTTTTATTGATGTTATGCCCGATTATTAGACTTTGTTAATATATATATATATATATATATATATATATATATATATATATTCAACCTCTAATTTAAAGAATGATCATTAATATGTTTTTAGATTACTATAAAAAATATTTTTGTCAACTGAAACATTCGTATTATTAAATAAAATGGAGGAGAAAAGAAAAACAATAAAATGAATATAAAACAATACAAGAAAAATTAAATACCATAATAAAAATGATAAACAGAACATCGACATGACAAACATTTGTGGATCAGTAATTGCACATCCCGCGTCGAACGTGTTATTAATAAAGCAGGACATTTAAAGTGTTTCAACTTACCCTGCTTGTGCAGTATAGATTGTTGATGTCCAGCGATTGGAACCGGGATTTGGGCTGGCGTTCAGCCTTGCTTCCCAGAGCAGACATGCTGCCCCACCATCCACATGAGAGGCGATCTCAGCCTGCTATCACACACACTCGCAAACGAGAATTCAGTTCAAATCTACGATTTATTTCGGAAGTTGCGAATCGACCACGCTGACCAAACTCGAAGCGACTCGACTCGATTGTTTCGAGTTGAGTTTTTGCGTTGATCGGATGACGATTTATGGGTGGGTATTGGAAATTCCTCTTCTGTCAAAATCTAACTTGGTTATGGAGCGGTCAGTGGTACTGCAGAAATAAGTCTTGTTTTTCTCTCTAGTTACAATACTGAATTTATCGAAATGCCTGTAAGAGATGTAAAATGAAAATGTGAGTTTGGCAAGTTAACTAGGAAAAGGAAAATATAAAATAATAGTTGCATCTAAAAGTGATAAACCTAATTGAATATTTTTTAAACAAATTATATTTTTTTAAATAATTTCTCATAAAACACACACGCACATCATAGTCAGGATTATATTTAAAATTCACAGCAGATAGTATTTGCAAATTGGCCAGGAGTTTTTGAACAAATCAGATCTATACTGATCTTAATATTTTTCTCTGTCTAGTGTTATTTTACACATTTTCAGTGGATAATTTGTATTACCATAGATAATAGTTTAGCCCAATAAATGAACAACACATTTGGAGTCAGAAATATGAAAAATTCTAGCTTTTGATACAGATGAATATTTTCATCTTTGTTGAGCTGCTAAACCTTCAACAAATGGTTAAATGAAAATTTCGGTCCATAAACACCATTCATGTATTTAAAAATCCTCATACGGTGTTACTGGAAAAATCATTAAATAAAAACTATTAAAAAAAATAACTTAAAAAATATTAATAATTTAAAAAAATAACTTTAAAAAAATCAAAAGGAAGAAATATATTTTCATTTTCGTAGTAAAATATTATAGTGAATTAGAAGGTAATGTCAATTTCTGAGGCCAATGTGTGCCAAAAAAAAATTGGTAATAACTCAACTAAGCAGATTCTTATAACAAAGTCAGGGCTTAATAGTTAACTTCAGCGCATTCAACATTTCACCTTTATTTAAACAATATTCTAGGATGCTATCACATATAAACCTTCATACCGATCTAATTCAGTGCCTCCCCCCACCGGGAGGCAATTTGAAAATTTTGGTGATTTTAATGTAATGTAGTATAGTATCGGTAAAACATTTAACAAAAAAAAATGCTTCGTAGATTTAGAATAATAAGGTGTCCCAGTTTGACCGGGACGGTTTTAGTTTTATCCTTGCTTTCCTGGTGCCGGAATTTTTTTCTGCTGGGTTGACTTGACTTTTTAAAAAGATTAGCTTGAATTTGAATTTTGCTCATTACTTTATAATTAAATAACAACTTAATTATAATCTCAAAATGATATATGCAATAAACTTTATATAAAACTAACAAAAACATTATGAAAGAGAATGTTGCGGAATGCAACAATTCTTTCGATTCCAGTAGTCCTTCATAATTATATTCTATATTCCAATTTACGAAAATTACCAAAAAAAATATGTAAATCAAGTTTCTGACTGCTTGGCATAAGTGCTTTAAAGTCAGTGACAAGACTCGACTTGAAATATGCACAAGAAAAGTGATATTTAATGCTAAAGTTAATTGCGAAGCTTCATGTAAACAGAGTTTTTTACTAACTGTCAGTAACTATGGCTAAAGATGGAATTAATTTAAAACAAACTAATTTTTATTGTATCCTTAAATAGTACAAAGTTTACACTAAGTGCGGCTTTTACTCTTAGATTGCTTCAAATGATTCTTCAGGTTTGTTGAGGTTGAGGTAGTTTTGTATGTGAGAAATTTAGCTGTTAGAGCGTTGAAAGATGGAATATCAAAACAAACATTTTAGTCAAATTTTGCATTTTTATTTCTGCAAAGGGTAAAACGATGCTCCCAAAGAATAGGTGCTGTTTATGGTGTCGAAGCCTTAAAAAGCAGCTATGTTAAAATTGATTTTGAAAATGTCATTCTGATGATTTTCCACTCAATGCTGCTCTGGTTGTCCAGTTAAAGTTTTGGACAACCTAATTAAAGCAATAATCGATTCGGCTAATAGAAACAATTTGGCAATGTTTAAAAATTATTGGGGGTTGGTTGAAATTTTTCTCCACATCCACCAAATATTCCTGATCACAAACCATCTGATTTAAAACCCTTGAATTAAAAAAAAATCATTATGGTGTCAAACTGTGCCTAATTCAGTTTTTGCTAATAAAAACTAGAAGTTTTATAAACTTGGGATAATGATGCTTCTTGGAAAATAACAAAAGGTCATTGATCAACATGGTATACAGAACAAAGTTATTTAATCCCACACAAAAATTCTCTTTGATTTTCTAACAAAAATGCGCACTTAGTTGCCAATCACTAAAAAAGATTTAACAAAAAAAAATTATATATAATTCTGTTTTGAGTTAAGAAAATATCAACTAGCTAAATAGATTCTTTAAGAAATGGCTTTATGAAGAAACTGAAACCAAATGCCCAAATGTAATCATATGTCCAAAAAGTTTAGTAAGTTAGAACCTAATATAAAATCTTTATTTTGGCTTAAGTATTGCATTAAATAAATTTTGAAAAAACAGCAATAAAATTAGTTTGAAATTTCCGTTTGCTGGCTTATTCCGAAATTTCACCTATGATGTTTAATAGCGATTTCATCTTAGAAGTTATCATTCACATTTTTTCAGGAACAAAAAAAAAATTGTATGGGAGGGCATAACGTTTTTGTAAACCTCAAGGTGGGGCGGGGCCCAAAAAAGGTTGGGAATCACTGATCTAATTCGATTTCCATAGTAAATATTTTTGCATAAATTGTTCGCGTCCTCTGGTTTGCGCAGACTGTTTACAAAACCATATACTAAAAAATCGTTTTGTATATGTTTAAAACAAGCTGCTGATCGAATCCATTTCACAAACGCCAATATTTATTTTCTAGGAAATGATGGTGCACTAATGCACATTATTTAAATGGAGCAAGTAAGCCATAGCAAAGAAAATCAATATATAAATTATTATTGATAAATGAAGCAAATAGTTATTGATTCAATTCATTTATATAAAATAATTTCGAGAATTAAAGTGCAAGTATATTGGTAGACTCAGCCAATAATGTACACATCTAATGACTATTGTATTGTATAGTTGTTTCAAAGTAAACTTGTGAAGCACGCGAACGCTTCATCTGAAATAGTAAAAAGACTCAATTTGACCAAAGACGAACTATCGATAAAATTAATACCACGTTAAACATATACTAGTGTATAAAATATGACTATTCAAGCCAAGGGCAGTGTTTACAACAAGAGTTTTTTGGTATAACATTAAACCAAAGCATTACATTTTCATTGTTAATTTTAATAAAACTAGTGGTGTAAGGCATCGTGCCTTAAGGCAAACTGCTGAAAATTCCCGTACCAAAGATTAAATTTAAAAAAAAGATTAAATATGTTTTAAACTTTGAAAAAAATATTTTTTGAGAAATTTTAAATTTTTGATAAAATTAGAAAAAAAAACGTTTGAAAAAAATTTTTTTAGTTTGGAAATATTTTGGAAATTTTGAACTTTTCAAAAGTGGCCGCGTGGCTGTCTAACGGGCAAACGATGTTACGAAACCGAAAGAAATGTAAACAAAATTGATCATTTTTGACCTCAAAATGACATTTATTTTTACTTTTTTTACTAGATCTCCGAAACCGCTAAACTTGCCTTCCCAAAAATTTAATCAGTTCTTCATCTTGTCAATACAAGTAAAATGTTAAGGGTAAGCTATTGTAATGGGCCGAAAATCGGAATTGAAAATTTTTACATTTCTCGAAGTTTTGAAGGTTTCTGACATACCTCAGAAAAAATGGATGTATGTGTGTGTGTGTATGTATGTATGGATACAAATTTCCAGTCACGTTTTCGGGAGCACGGATCAACCGATTTGAATGGTTCAAAAAACATTCGATTCCTATCGATAGGGAAAAGAGCTGATTAGTTTTTGGCAAAGGCAGGTCCAGCCGTTTCGGGGATACGGAGCAAAGAGTGCAGAAAATAGAAATCGACTTTTTGAGAGAACAGAGTATCCGATTTGAATTATCTAAAAAACATTCAATTAGTAATGATTGGGAGAAGTGTTTATTAGTTTTTGACAAAGGTAGGCCCAGCCATTTCGAAGATACGGAGCTGAATATGTAAAAAATGGCAGTTTTTGAGAGAACTAATCGTCCGATTTGAATGATTCAAAGAACTTTCTGCTTGTCTTAACGAAATAATTGATTTTGGAAAAAAAAAATTTTGTTTCAATTTTTTTTTTTTTTTTAATTTTTTGTATATCGAAAATAATTCAGATTTTATTTTTAATCCTGACGAAAGTTCTAATATACTTTAAACAAATAATTTCAACTTTGCAATTCAGTTTATATAATTCTTATAAATATTAGATAATGTTACAGTATTTATTTATAATAATCTATTTGAAATCATTCAGTATTTCTCGAACATTTCGTTAAGGTACGGGAAGTTCCAGCAATTTGCCTTAAGGCACGATGCCACCCACCCCACTAGTTTGAATTATTAAAATCGGACGCTCCGTTCTCTTAAAAACTGAATAACCGTTTTTGGCACTTTTTGCCCCGTATCTTCGAAACGGCTAGACCTGCCCGTGCCAAAAACTAATCAGCACGTCTCCTTATTAATAGGAATCGAATGTTTTTTGAATAATTGAAATCTGTTGAACCGTGTTCCCGAAATCGTCGACGAAAATTTGTATCCGCACGCACACACACACATACACACATCCATTTTTTCTAAGGTATGCCAAAATGTTCAGAAACCTCTGAAACGTAAAGATATATAAAAAAATTCATTTTTAATTTTTTTGCGATTACAATAACCTGCTTTACGAGAAGTTAATACTTGTTTTTGATCTTATGTAAGTAAACTGGACCTTAAAGCGCAATTTTATTTAGTAATTTTGATATAAAATTATCATCGTATATACGCAGAAGATAACTTTTCGCTATTTCATTAACATATTAAATAATCAAATATTAAAACAATATCAAAATATCGATTAATTAAACTATGGCAACAACAATTTTATTGGTGAGAAAAAATTTCACAAATGTATATTTAGAAACATTCGCAGTTAAATATCATTATAAAACATACCCGAGTATGTTATGAAACGATTCCAAGTTTTAATGAATACGA